TAGGCCCGAAACGTCAGCCTCTCTGCTCCTATGATGCTGCTTGGCCTACTGTGTTCATCCAGCCCTGCACCTTGTTGTCTCTATATATTGCATTGATCGGCTTTTCCTTTTTTTTTTAAACAAAAAGCTTTTGTAAACACTACCAGCTTATTTTCAAATTCTAAAATCCACTTATTCTTCTCCCCTACCCATTTCTCTCAGAAGGTTACATGCCAGTTATAACTTGCTTTCTTTGCTATGGTGTTCTGTTTTGATTTTGCATATTTGCTTGGTCATCCTTCTGAACTTGCATCCCCCTCTTTTAATCTCATTCCCTTGCTGTCTGTTGTGTAATTAGTTACAGATATACTGACTTTTCTAGTTTATATTGAAGAGGGAACTTTTTTTTTTGCTACTTTTAATTGCACATCATCATCTATTTTAATCATGATTTTCTTGCTTGGTTATTTGTTCTTCAATCTATCCTAATGTTTCGATGTCAAGGTAACTAATGATCACTGAAATTGACCTGAGAAACCATCGAGTGCTATCATCTTTTTGGCTGATGTTGCTTTAAAAACATAAGCACATGTAAAATATGACTATTGCAGATTGTTTATTTATTTTTTTAAAAGGAATAAAGAATGCTAATGCCTTTTATCTCAAAGGAATACCGCGGGAAATGAGCACTTAGATACTCTGTTCAACGTAGCAGATGGCCAGCACTGAATCATAAGCTCAAATATGGTTTGAGCTCATTTGGTGGATACTGTCCGATGCTTATTCAAGTCAAACAATTCCTGTGTTCACTCCATGTACCGGGGAAGCAATCTGCATAGGCACAGACACTGGAGAAGTGGTCACTACTAATATTTGGGATCCAAGATGCGAAATTACGATGGGCATTCTGATGTATGAATGGGTCACTGTAATTTGAAAACCGAGTGGTCAGATGACAATGCATATATTAAACTCTGGAAGCATTGAAGTTTTGTATTAGAGTCTAGTCTACACAGAATGAATTAGTCTAAAATGAAGCAATTGCACTTTAATACTCTGCCATCTGGAACTTCTGGATGTGTGATGTAAAATCTATCTGAAAAAGAACTCCAGGTAACTTTCCCAATACAGCTTAAAAATATGGAATAGCTTGACCTGTGGTTCTTAATTTTCCCATACAAATGCATGCTGGTGGAAAGAGCATCTGACAAGTATGGTAACCATCCTTTTCCCCTGTATCCTTAGTGTAAAGAGTCTTTTTTTATTTTGTTCCCTTCTGCATGATTTTAAATGGGATTCCTTCCCTCCTTTTTTGTATTCCTCTTCCATTGCACCTCCACAGCATGCTTCCTCAAGTCGTCACAGTAAACAGGTCAGACGCCATCTTGACTTTGTGGAGGAAGACTTGGAGCTGAGGACTGTAAGTCACTATCACAGTGCATGTTTATGCATGATTGCATGTATTCACTTGTTTCCATGCTCTTCCTTGCTTGCATGTTTTTATTGATTTTACATTGCCTTGTACTTGTGTTACTTGCTTTTTCCACATTTTATCTTTCTTATCAAGTTGTCAATCTCATTAATTAAATCAAAAAATCAGTAGTTAGGCTGAACATTTCGATCAGCACCTGAAGAAAAGTTTTGAAACTTTGGTATAAAAGTGTTTCCTTGGAGACTTTCTTAAAGTGACTGGATTGTTCAGACCTTTGAGTGTAGGAGTTGGGACATTATGTTGAGGTTGTACAGATGTTAGTGAGGCTTCTTCTGGAGTACTGTGTGCAATTCTGATCACCCTGTTACAGGAACAATATTATTAAGCTGGAGAGGGTTCCGAAGAGATTTATCAGGATGTTGCCGGGTCTAGAGGATTTGAGTTATAAGGACACGTTGGATAGGCTGAGACGTTTTTCACTGGAGCGTAGAGGTTGAGAAGTGACCTTGGAGGTTTATAAAATAATGAGGATATAGATAAGGTGAATGGTGCATGTCTTTTCCCTAGGGTGGGGGATTTCAGACTAGGGGGCTTATTTTTAAATTTGAGGGCGGAAAGATTTAAAAAGGACATGGGGGCAATTTTTTTGCACAGAGTAGTTCGTATGTGGAATGAACTTCGAGAGGAAGTGGTGGATGCAGGTACAGTTACAACATTTAAAAGACATTATGATAAGGACATGAATAAGAAATGCTTGGAGGGATATGGACCAAGTGCAGGCAGGTGGGATTAGTTTAGTTTGGGATTATGTTTGGAATGGATTGGTTGGACCAAAGGCTCTGTTTCCGTGCTGTAAGACTCTTATGACTTATGATTGCCTTTTGAGATGGATGATCAGATGAAAATGGAATAAATACCCTTCTGGATGCAGCTGTCAAGGCCCCTTTGTTTTACTGGTAGAGACACTTGCTGATATTTGCTGTTGAAAATGCTTCAGTTATGAAAATAGGGAAACATATGGTCCTCATGAAATCCGTGTCTTCCTTTCGTTGAAAAAATTCACTCACTCGTAATTTTACAATTTGGCTGGAGCTAGATTTGTCTAAAGCAATCCCCGACAAGCAGCTATTAACAGAGTGCTATAAATGCCTGTGTAAGAGTAAATGTGTATTAGTGTTTGAGCAAGAACTAAATTTAGCTTTCAAAGGTGCTTAAGGAAGCAATTTCTTGAAACAAATAGCAATGCTGTTAGCAATTCCCCTTAATTCACAATTTCATCTGACAGCAGCAACTCTGTGCTAGTTGAAAATCCGGCTGTGTTGTGAAATGCTCAGCCTATATCCCATAAAACTAATAGTCCATCTACTGTTGATTTGTGAGGTGAAGTGAATTGCTGAAATCAGAGATCAGCCCTTTTTTAAATGCCTCAAATTATTACTGTAATAGTAATTTCCAATAAAGCCAAATGTCCTTTTGTTTGCAGGCTTTGCTCTGTCTCCCTTCCTCCTCCCCTCTCTCATGGGCACTTTAACAATTATTCTTCACATGTGAACTTAAATTTTTATTACTAGCAGACTATACAGATGTCATGGAAACATTACCGTTAATTTGTGCAAGGCCCAACAAGTGCTTTCATTCTCTGGCAGCTTACCGAAGTGGCTGTTTTTCATGGATTGGGATGAAGGCCAGTTAGTTCAGTTGACTACATGGCTAGTATGTGGTTATGAATAATGTCAGTAGAACAGGTTTAATTCCTATTCTGTTTGTGATAGACGCCTGACCTGTCTCCTTGTTCTGCCCCTGAGAATGAGCAATGACAAACCTCCACTGACACAAACTGCCGAGAAAATAGCTCAGGATAAAGCATCAGCTGACAATGACCCAACGAATTGCCTCCAAGCACAGCACAAGTGAATGAATGAATGAACCACTGGGTGCAACCAGGTTACTCAATCTATAAAGTATGTCACAGCATCATCCTGAATTTACACATTTCTTCAGCAATACATGGTGATTAGAAGCAAATATAGATTTCTAGATACTAATGCCATTAGGATATATGGAATCAGAGTCATACAGCATTGAAACAGACCTTTCTGTCCAACTATCACATGCTGACCATGTTCCCAAACTAAACTGGTCCCACTTGCCTGCGTTTGGCCCATATCCCTCTAAATCTTTCCTATTCATGTACTTATGCAAATGTCTTTTAAATATCCAAATGACTTTTATATGTTGTAACTGTTCCTACATCCATCAGTTCCTCTGGCAGTTCCTTCCACACACGGACCACTCTGTGTTTAAAAAAAAAAGTTGCCCTTCATCTCCTTTTTAAAACTTTCTTCTCTCACCTTAAAAAATATGCTCCTTAATTTTGAACTCTCGCACCCTGGGGAAAACACACTTGCTTTTCATGTTATTTATACCCCTCGTTATTTTAGGAACCTCTATAAGGTCACTCCTCAACCTCCTATGTTCCAGTGGAAAAAGTCCCAGCCTATTTTTATAACTCAACCCTCCATTCCCAGCAACATCCTGGTAAACCTTTTTCAACCCCCTCCAATTTAACAATATCCTTCCTATGGCAGGGCGACCAGAAACTGCACACAGTACTCCAGAAGAAGCCTCACCAACATCCTGTGCAACCTCAACAGGACATGCCAGCTTCTATACTGAAAGGTCTGAGTAATGGAGGCAAGCATGCTAAATACCTTTTTAACCACCCTCTCTACCTGTGATGCAAATTTCAAAGAATTATGTAGTTGAATAGCTAGGTCTCTCTGTTCTACAACACTTGCCAGGGCCCTACAGTTAATTGTGTAAATCTTGCCCTTGTTTATCTTACCAAAATGCAATACCTCACATTTATCCAAATTAAACTCCATCTGCCACTCCTCAGCCCACTGACCCAATTGATCAAGGTCTCTTTTGTAATCTTAGAGAACCTTCTTTGCTGTCGACTATGCCACCAATTTTGTCATCTGCAAGCTTTACTAACCATGCCTTCTATATTCTCATCCAAATCGTTTATATAAATCACAAACAAAAGTTGACTCAGTACCAATCCTGTGGAACACTGCTGGTCACAGGCCCCCAGTCTGAAAAGCAACCCTCCACCACCAACCTCTGTCTCTTATCATCAAGTCAATTTCGTATTCAGTTGGTAAGCTCACCCCGCATCCCATTTGATCCACTTTACTAATTAGTCTATCATGCAGAACCTTGTCAAATGCTTTATTAAAGTCCATGTAAACAGCGTCTACCACTCTGCCCTCGTCAATCTTTTTGGTTACTTCCTCAAAAAACTCAATCAAGTTTGTGAATCGCAATTTCCCTTGCACAAAACCATGCTGACTATCCCTGATCAGTCCTCATCTCTCTAAATGCATGTAAATCCTGTCTTTCAGAATTGCCTCCAACAACTTACTCACCACCATGTCAGGCTCACAGCTCTGTGTAGTTTCTAGGTTTCTCCTTACAACCTTTCTTAAATAAAGGCACAAATTAGCCACTGTCCTGTCCTCTGGCACCTCACCGATGGTTAGAGATGATACAAATATTTCTGTTAGGGGCCCTATCCCAGGATACACTTGATCAGGTCCCAGAGATTTATTCACCTTAATGTTTTCTAAGAACTCCAGCATTTCCTCTTCTGTGATGTGAGCTGTTTTCAAAACATTGATATTTATTTTCCCAAGTTCACTAGCCTCCATTTCTTTCACCACCGTAAAAACTGATATGAAATATTCATTTAGCATCTCTCCCATCACCTGAGGTTCAGCACATTGATGACCTCATTGATCTTTAAGGAGCACTATTCTCTCTGTAGTTGTTCTTTTGCTAGTAATGTACTTGTAGAATCTCTTTGAATTGTCCTTAGCCTTAACCTTGTCTGCCAAGGCTATCTTATTATCCCCGCTTTGTCCTCCTGATTTCCCTCTTAAGAATGCCCTTACAATCTTTATATTCTTCAAGAGATTCATTTGATTCCAGTTGTCCATATCTAAAATATGATTCTTTTTTACTCCTGACTAGAGCCTCAATATCTTTATTCATCCATTGTACGCCACTCTTACCAGCCTTACCTTTTACTCTAACAGGAGCATAATGCCTTTGAACTCTCTCACTTTCGAAAGCCCCCCTTTGTCAGTCATCCCTTTACTTTCAAACAGTCTATGCCAATCAACTTTTGAAAGTACTTGTCTTATAACATTAAAATTTGCCTTACTTCAGTTAAGAACATTAGCTTTTATGGAAGACTTATCCTTTTTCATAACTATTTCATAACTAATAGAAATATGATCACTAGTCCCAAAGTTTTTCCCAACTGTCACTTGCCCACTGCCTTATTTCCCAAGAAGAAGTCCAGTTTTCCTCCTCTAGTAAGTTCATTTACATATTGATAAAGAACATTTTCTTGAACACATTTAACAAACTCCTCATCACCCAAGCCTTTAATGCTATTACAGTCCCAGTCAATGTTTGGGAAAGTAAGATCTTCTACTATTACAACCCTATTATTCTTAAATATGTCTGTCATCTCTTTACATATTTGCTCCTCAATTTCCCTTTGACTATTGGGGAACCTATAGTACAGTCCTATGAAGATGATCATCCCTTTTTTATTTTTAATTTCTACCAATGTAGTTTGACTGGATGATCCCTCAGAAATATCTTCTCTAATTACAATAATGTTATCCTTAATCAAAAACTCCACTCCCCATCTCGCCTCCCTTTCTATCCTTCAGGTATGAGGATAATGTGGGAAGATAATGTTGACGTAGATAATTAGTCATAATCTAGAATAACAGAAAAGACTCAAGGGATCACATAACCTGTGGTAATCCCAGGTTCAGCAAGTAACTGCTCTCCTCATAATTCCAACAAAGTATTCAACAGGTATTAAGTATTTTACTGGATATAAATTGTCCCATTGGGAACACCCAGCATGGGTTGATGAAGGGTAGGTCATGTTTAACTAATTTGGT